CACAAATTGACTCACTATAGTTTACTCTCATAACACTAAATTAGACTTTCTATACTTTTCTCTCAACTCTATTTCTTTGAGTGAGGATTGTGTTTCATTTCAAATTACTTAATTTTCATTTGCTTGTGTCAAGCTTATATTTAACAAAAGTAGCTTAACCATAAGTATTGAATGTTTGATTCCAAATTGTTAGGAAAAAACAAACACAGAAGAGATTAACGTGGAAACTCCAAAACTGGAGAAAAAAACCACGATTGTTGTCAAATGACAACGAGATAATAACACAATGTGAAAATTATTATAACACATAATATACCATCAACTAACTCAGACCCCCAATATACTCACACCCTTCAAAACAAATATTTAACTAAATCTCAAAACACTCTTATACAAGAGTATAAGAGAACAAATAAAGTTAAATACAAGCTTAAATATTTTTGACTGGTGCATCTTGGAATGAAGAACTTGAATCATATATATAGTCTTGGACTCTCTCTTCCTTCACAAATCTAAGCGATGTGGAACTTTAAAGAACTTGTATCCTATATTTAGTCTTGACCTCTTTCTTCATTCACAAAACTAAGCGATGCGGGACTTTTTTAACATGTATATTTTCAACAAACCTCAACAATCTCCACCTTGATTGAAAGTAATACATAAGTTTTAATTGTCTTCACCGAAAATCATACTCCACTATAAAGAGTATAGTCACTTGAAGCTACACCACTCCAAGAATTTCACATTCTCTTCACCAACAATCATAGTTTTCAAAAACTTTCATACTCCATCTAAAGAAGAGTATACTTCACTTAAAGTTAAACCCCACTTCAAGAATTTTTCCATGTCAAAAACCAAGTTGAAACTTTATGGTACAACTTCCTTATTGGCAGGAAGCTCTTCAACCATCGACATAATCTCACAATACACTTTGCATTAATCCCCATGTGTTAATCCGCTAGCAATAACTCGTCCTTTTCTATGACAACTAAAATGTCATGTGGACACACTTCTCAATTTTTAGATAATATCATCCTCTTTCATAGTGAGAGAGACATTGCTAGCATTTGACTCAGAGCCCTTCTCTGATGTATCCCCATTGGGACACTTATACTTTATATGTCCAAGCTTTCCAAATTTCCAACATCTCATACCCGTTTCATTATTTTTCTTCACATACGACCTTCTTCTAGCAACCAACACTGAGTTTGATGAAGTATTCTCCTCACCTTTCAATCTTCTTTCTTCAGAAATAATCTTACTACCAACTTCTTCAAAGCTCAAAGTTTCCTTCCCATATATTAAAACAGGTTTGACATGCTCATAGGAAGATGGAAGAGACTATATAAGTCTCAAAGCGTTATCTTGATCATCAATCTTGACTCCAATAGTTTCTACTTCAGAAACAATACCATTTATAAGACTTAGTTGATCAGATACTTTCGTATGTTCATCCATACACAAGCTATGAAACTGCTCCTTCAACAATAAACGATTATACCCTTTTCTTGATATAGCCCTTCAAGTTTCTCCCAAAGCTCTTTGGCTGACGATGTACCAAGAACATTCGCAAGAATATTCTTAGCCAAAGAGATGCGGATTATAATCGAAACCTTCAAACATGATTCCTCCCACTTCTTGTTGTCCATGTTGGAAATGTTTCCTTTCAACGCCTTATGTAATCCTAATTGTATCAAAACATCTTTGACTTGAATTTTTCACAAGCCAAAATTAATTGTTCTATCAAATTTCTCTAAGTCAACCTTCACTGCACTTGAAAAACTTGACATTTCAACCAAAACCTCTGATGTGGAAGATCAGCTAAAATTGCAACCATAGAGCATACCAAAAAAAATATAACCCATCAAACCAAGGCTCTTGATACCACTTGTTAGAAAAAAACAAACATATAGAAAAAAAGAGGAACACAATAACAACACAAGAGATTAACGTGGAAACTCCAAAACCGGAGAAAAAAACCACGTGAAAATTGTTACAACACATAATATACCCTCAACTAACCCATACCCCTAGTACACACACCCTCTAAAACAAATATTTAACTACATGTCACACCACTCTTATACAAGAGTATAAGAGAACAAATAAAATCAAATACAAGCTTAAAGTGTTTTTGACTGGTGCATCTTGGAATGAAGAACTTGAATCCTATATATAGCTTTAGACTCTCTCTTCCCTCATAAAACTAAGCGATGTGGGACTTTAAAGAAATTTTATACTATATATAGCCTTGGACTCTCTTCATTCACAAAACTAAGCGATGTGACACTTCTTTAACATATATATTTTCAACCAACCCCAACTCAAATATCAAACATTGTCGCACTATGGTTTTAAAACTTCCAACATCTTCAAATGTTTTTGATACACTTAGGAATTTAGTGCCAAATGAAGAAAAGATAAGAAAACCATGTGTTTTCTCGTTAGCTAAAAAATGAGTAAACTATTCTCTCAGACAAGAGGGAAATATCCTTAGATTAGTTTGGGGTTGTTGCCAACTCTCACAACTTCCCCTCTAATTTTGATAATCTTGTATCCATTTTTGATAATAAAAAAAATGAGGAAACAACTTTGGATGGCGGTGCTAATAACATTAATATAGACAATGCATTTTAGTCCAATCTAATACGAGGAACTAGATTGATCTATCATGGGAATCAAAACTCTTATTTGCGATAACTCTTGTTTTCATTGTTAGTTTGCCCTTTTTTATGCCCTCATTCCTTCCAACTAAAAAAATTGTGTTTATGAGTCATCTAAATCTCATTTATCACATTCATACATTAATTAGTGACATGTATTGTTGTGGGAACAATGTGTGTCTGATATAGCCTAAACAACTTTGGTAGGGGGGAAGTAATTGGGAGATGTGGGCAATGATTCTCATGAAACCTATATGTAGTCAAGTTTGTATATGGAGAAGAGATACCAAATAGGGAAATCAAAGATGGGGTAACTAAGAAACGATCAACCATGATTAAATTCTCTTAAAATGTTAGATGGTGGAGGAGTTAATATAAAAAAATGTATATTATCTAATAATTTCAAAATCAAAGATTTTCTAATTGATATGTAGTCTTGTAGGTGATGGTTATCTTGGAACTAGGGTATAATGGAAAGGTATTTGGAACATTTCATATTACTTTAAGTATTGCTGACAATTCTCATAAATCAACATGAGTCTTTTCAACATATTAATGATGTCTTTTCTACCTACAAAAGATCAATTTAGTGGTGACTCTTTTCTTATCAACGAATCATTAATGATGCATCTTGTTCTCTTGTCGTCAATGATAATCCAAGTGTTGGGTTCAAATGTGAATGGTTAAGTCATATATCGATTATTAATAGATAAAATATTGGATATATAAGAGAGGCTACTCATATGCCAAATGAATTAAGATTTTGGATGGTGATGTGGTTCTTCTGTGTTTGGAGAATTTGTCCCATTGTGCTCTCAACTTTCCTTGATTCCCCATCAAGTGGTATTAGAGCACTTGTTCGATATGTTGAAGGAACGAGTGTTGGATCATGTATTGGATTCTATTATAGAATGTGAAAGAGATTGGTGATTTAAGTGTGAATGATTAAGTTTGACATCAACTATGAATGAATAAAATGTTGGATATATAAGAGATTTGAGTTCAAGTGTGAGTTATTAAGTCTCACATCAACTATGAATGAGTAAAATGTCAGATATAAGGGAGGTGACACTTATATCTAGTGTCTTATGGTTTTGGATGGAGATGAGACTTATCACTCACACTTGAATCCAACAATCTCTTTTACGACTGTGAGTCAACTACATACTATAGCAAGATCCACCGTAGTGATGAAAGGTTGTACTCCTCTACAAACAAAATCATGAACATGGTGAAACTCAACATGTTCTTCCCAAAACCCTTGACTTTGGTGTATTAGGTTGTTACAAAAAATTAACCTTGAGTGCATGTCATTAATTCTTTGTAAAGTTGAAACATGTGAGGTCCATTTTTCTGCATGTAGGTTGTTTGCAATTCATGTCAGATCGCCCAAAAATTTGACGAGTGAACCATACTTTCAGAAACATCCTTAGAAATGGACAAGAGTAACCTAGACACAATGAAATTGTAATTTCTGTGCCAAAGGGTAAAAACATGACCATCCTCGAGAGGAGAGGACAAATAGCCATCAACAAATCCTAGCATGTTCTTAACTCTAAGAGTGATAAGCATTCGGAGCCGTCTCAACCTATTGAGAGACCTTGTGTAAGAATCTGAAGTTAACTTCATTTAAGTCATGATATTTTTAAGAGGCCCTATTTAATCGTGAAATATGTGTATGGAGTTTCTTTTAACATAACTTAATCATGAAAAAGTGTGAAACCCTGTACTGTAGGCCACCTTATACGCCCTCAAAAACAACCCTGTGAGTATCAAACAACACAATAAATAATAATTATTACTAATGAATTATGAAAAACGAGTTTGCAACTTGAATTATTCGAGTAATGCAGAAAAAGTTCGATTGTCGATCTCCCATGATAAGTAACGATGCATAAACAAGATATTTAAATGAAATCAAAAAAGAAAATAACACTTTCATAAAATATGAGAACAAGGAAACTTGTGATAAGAACCATCAACACTCCAAGAATACAAGAGATGTCTCCACAAAATCCAACATAGTATTAGTTGAATTGGTTATATTGATCAAACAAAACTCTAATACTCTATTGAAAATCAATTTTTTACTTAGTTGGTAAATCTCAAAATCTTTTTAACAAATTTTTAAAGTTTTTCTTTTAAAAATAAGTTTTCTCTATCTTAAGCCGCCAGACTATTTTACTTATTACATACATAAATTTATTAATGGGAGCACAAGAGTACTCTAATCCATATTTGTATTCTAATCATTATTATACATTAAGATGTATTTTCTTTTTGTTAATTTATTTATTTTTGTTTTAGATGAAATATTTATTGTGTTTAATGTAACAGCATGCAGGACACGATTGAACGGTACCGTAGAAATACAAGGAGTGCTCAACCATCTCAAAGATCAGATGAACAAAATATGCAGGTAATTTATTCTTTAACAATTCCCCATATTTTTCATTGTTCATTAAAATTAGAATTGGTATTGAAATATTTGGATATAATTATAATATTAATATTTATGATATATCCTTTTAAGATATTCTAGCAAATGCTTTATAATATGATGCCATACCCCCACATTAATATTTATGAAAATGCACAAAATTTTGTGAGAATATATATTTAATGAACATCAACAACATTTAGTGACCCGAATCTAGCAGATGCTTAATTGAAAATGGACAAAATTTTGTGAGAATATATATTTTTTAATTTTAAAAAATTAGTTTTAGTTTTAATAATGAATAGATAATAAATTTTTTAGGTGAATAATTTTGTGCAATATTTAAAATTTATAAAATTTATAAAAAATATTTATTTTTATTATTTTAAGGAATAAATTAGTTCTATTTAAACATTAAAATAGGTAAAACTTCAAGTGAAATATACAGGTTGAGAATTTTAGAGTTAATCGGTGGTTTTCCGTCGAGGGGCCAAACAAATACAAATACATTTAAACGCAACTTAATCAAAAGCATATTAAAAATAGATAATTAAACTATGTTCCATAGTTGTAGTGCCATTAATCGAAGAGGATGATGGTTATAGAATTACGAATAGAAAAAACTGCACACCCATAAACATAATTAGAAGAATATTCTAAGAAGTGTTAGTGCTTAAGATATTTTTAATGAGAAAAGAAAGAACGAGAGAATAAAGAAATAAGAATTGTATTATTGAAATATGATTGTGTTATAAACTGAACTATAAAGTGTTTTATATACACCTAAGTGTCTTGACTACTAACTAACAAATATATTAAATCCTAATAAACTTTGGGCTTTGATTACATAACTTAGATTATATCACAATATAGCCCCCCATAATCAAAATTATTGAATATATCCTAATCATAGTCTATCTACAATCCTTTGGTGAAAATGTCAGCCAACTGTGCTTCACTTGAGCAATGCCTTATTTCAAGTTCGCGTCGGTTTACCTTCTCCCTTTAAAAGTGAAATTTAGCTTCGATGTGTTTACTCTTTCCATGCAAAACTGGATTCTTCGCAAGATTTATGGTTGACTTATTGTCGATCTCCAACACCAAAGGTTTCTGTACTTCGACCCAATCTCTTCCAGCACAGATTTGATCCGAATTTCTTGACATGCAGCATATGATTCTGCTATATATTCAACCTCACATGATGACAATGCCACCACATATTGCTTTCTCGAGCACCATGAGATTGGGGCATCAAATACTTGAAAGAAATAACCAGTTGAGCTTCATTGATCTTCCTTATCTTCACACCAATCACCATTTGAATAGCAAGTAATCTCAGCTTCTTTGCTTTCAGAATCTCATTGAAATAGAATTCCACAGCTTATGGATCCTTTTAAGTAACTCAGGATTCTTCTTGCAGCCTTCATGTGTGACACTCTTGGTTCACTCTTGTATCTGCTCACTAGTCCGATTGAGAAACATATATCAAGTCGACTGTTGCACACATATCTCAGAGATCCAACAATTTGTTTGAACAAAGTTGCATCGACTTTGTCTTCCTCTCCATGCTTCTCCAACTTCAAATTTAGTTTGACAGACGAAGATGCAGGAGTCAAATCATCCATCATGAATCTCTTGAGCATCTCTTTGACATACTTTCTTTGATGTAGCACTATACCTTGCTTCAAAATTTGAAATTCCATGTCTAGGAAATAAGACAAATTTCCCAGATCCAACATTTTAAATTCCCTCATCATCAGCTTCTTGAATTTCGACAAGTTCTCCAATCTATTTCTAGTTACTAACAAGTCATCGACATATAAGCAAATGGATGTTATATCTTGTGCCTCAACCAGGACATAGATCCCATACTCATATTTGCATTTGACGAATTCCAATTCGACTAAGTATGATTCGTTCCTCTTTTCCATGCCCTAGGTGCCTACTTGAGGCCATATGCCGCTTTGTGAAACTTATACACTTTCATTGCTTCCTCCTGCATCACAAACCCATGAGGTTGTATGATATGGAGTTCTTCGTCTAAAGGAGCATTCAAAATGAAGATTTCACATCTAAGTGAAATTTTAACCAGCCTTGCTTGCATGCCAAGACTACAACAAATCTGACGGTCTCCAATCTTGTGACAGGTGCATATACCTTAGAGTAGTCGAGTCCTGCTCTCTAAAAAAATCCTCGAGTTACCAGTCTCGCCTTATATCTTGATATTGACCCATCAGCATTGTGCTTTAGCTTGAACATCCACTTCACTTTGATAACTTTTATATGTGCAGACAATTCGACTAACTCCCATGTGTTATTTTTTTCGGTTGCTTGTAACTCTTCGACCATAGCAGTCTTCCATTTCATATTCTTTAAAGTCTCTCTATAGTTGATTGGTTCAACAACTGCAAGTAAAGCAAAATGAACTAATTCTCCATCTGGTGTGACTTCATCATCACCAGTCACTTCGAAGTCTTGAAGTCTTATTGGGGGAGCTCTAGTTCTTTAAGGTCTCTAGCTTGTGCCAGCCACACCTTCGACTTCGACTGTGTTGGGAATGTCAGCATCTGCTTCAACTAGAATATCAATAATTTTATCGACTTCGACTTTATCGGTTTCTTTGTCGTCACCATAACTCATCAATGGCTTGTTAATTAGATCACCAAAATTCTAATCCTAGGCTGAATTTTCATCAATCACATTGTCTCAACTCATCATGATCTTATTGTTCATTGGATTGAATAGCCTGTATGCTCCAGTCTTATGATATCCTACCAGAATCATAGGTTCACTCTTATAATCAAGCTTCCTTCTCCTAGCATCAGGAATATGCTTGTAGCAAATAGATCTAAATACCTTCAGATGACTCATTGATGGTAATTTTCCACTCCAAACTTCTTTTGGAACCTTGTTCTCCGGCTTCTTAGTAGGACACCAATTCAGAATAAAAATAGTTGTGGAAACAACTTCACCCCATAAGGATTTTGGAAAATTCTTCTGCTTCAGCATGCATCTCGCCATGTCCAATATGGTCATGTGTCTTCTTTATGCTATTCCATTATGTTGAGGTGTATAAGGGGTAATTACCTCATGATCGACGCCATGTTCTGCATAAAACTCTTCAAACATCTTGGATGTGTATTCGCCACCTCCATATGTTCGTAGAACTTTGATCTTATTCTCACTTTGGTTTTCGACAAGCATCTTGAATCTCTTAAAGTTTTCGAATACTTTGTCATTTCGCTTGATCATATAGATCCACAACTTTCAACTAACTCATTATTAAATGAAACAAAATACATGTTTCCACCAACGGTATGCTCCCAAAAAGGTCACATACATCTGAATGTACAACTTCGAGTATGCAGGAGGATCTCATGGGCATAGTCAAAATAAAAGACTTTCTGGATTGGTTTTTGACTACACAACCTTCATAGAGTTTTTCGAGCATCTCAAGACTTGGTATACCAGTTAACATATCTTGAGTAATCAATTTATTGAGTGATCGAAAGTTCAAATGTATAAACCTCAAATGTTACAGCCAACTATGCTTGTGATCGACAATAAGTTTTAGACATTGTACTTCATAGGAATTGGTCATAGTCTTGAATGTCCTATTCTTTGACAAAGGAGATTTCCAGACCAAATTATTCTGAGTGTCGAACATTTCCAAGACTCCATCTTTCATAATCACTGAGAAACCTTTTTTGACAAGTTGTCCAACACCTAGCAGATTTCACTTCATTCCAGGTGCATAGAGTACATCTTTGATTATAGGTTTTCCATCATTGCTCCTTTGAATAACTATGTCGCCAGTATCTTTTGCTTGTAATGAGTTATTATCAGCAAGTTTGACCTTGCTCTTCTTCGACTAGTCGAAATGTGCTAACCACACTTTTTGACTAGTCATGTGATTCGAGCAGCCCGAGTGAAGGAACCAGATCTTGGATTCGACATGGTCATCTGCAATTGCAGCTATAAAAATCATATCTTCAAAATCATCTCAATTTTAAAGTGCAAGGTTCTCTCCTTCCTCCCCACCTTTTTTCGCTCCCTTTTTTTTATTGTACTAACAGTTCTTAGCCACGTGATCTCACTTTTCTCAATTATAGCATTGCACACCTTTTTTTCTTTGTCTTTTTGATAGGAGTTTCATTCTCCTCTTTTCAAGGATTCAAAAGCCATATGATCGACCTTATGCTTTTGAGGGTTCAACCAAGACTTCTTGCTTTAAGTCTTGTCTCCTTTGCCTTTGAACTTGTTGAACCCACCATGCTTCTTCCAACCCTGGGCATGCAGTGCTTGTATCGAATCTTGAATCCCTTTCCTCTCGAAAATCCTTATCTCATGCGCCTCTAACGAACCAACTAAATCTTCCAGTTTCAGAGTTGCAAGATTAATGGATTCTTGAATAGCTATGATATCATGATCAAAGTGAGAGTTCAACATACGCATTACCTTCTCAACTACCATCTTATCAGTTAGGGTTTCACCACAACCCTTCATGAGATGGACGAGATTTTGCACCTTTGACACATAGCCTATAATCTTTTCATCTTCTCCCATCTGTAGCAATTCATACTAATGTCACAAAGTCTGTAATTTGACGACTTTGAATTTCTCACCTCCTTCATAGCATTTGACAAGAACATCTCATGCCTCCTTCGCTGATTCAACATGAGAGATCTTGTCAAAATTCGATAAATCTACCTCCGATTGAATTCAATACGCATCCTTGCAATCTTTCTTCTTGGCCTCCTTGTTCGTGACTCTCTGAACATCAGTTGCATTTTCAACAAGCTCAGGGACGCCATTAGTAACCAATTCAAGAGTTTCAAAAAATCCAAATAGAGATTACATCTATTTTCTCCCTCAAATCCAATTCCTGCCGTCAAGAATTAGAATAGAATTTGGAATTTCTTTGGTGCCATTCATCTTTGCAGCAAATGTGATTAACAAACCATGACCCGGGAAACACG